TGAGAACTGTTTCAAATCTGAGCTGTTTTCTTTATGAATGTCATCTAATAGTTTTCTCTTCATGGATCAATGTTGCCATTTAAAGCTGCCTTGTTCTATTCTTAATTTCCCAACTCAATTTGATAGGGCTTTGCTCACAGCAAATGGCTGGGTTTATGAGTCTATTTCCTAAAGCCATCCCTGACTCACACTTCAAAGCAAGGGTGGGTGGTAGTTTGAATTTTTCCAATTCTGTTTCCCATGAGGGTCAGTCTATAGTTTGGGAAATACATATGAAAGAAAACTTAAATTAGTTCACATAGCCTAATCCTACCCCTGCCTTTATTTTTCTTCTTAATTGGATTTAAGAGAAACACTGGAACTTTTCAGCCCAAGGTTCTATGCCTGTTGGTTATTTACTCCCTAAAGCCACAATCATCAATGACATTATAATCATTTCCACAGTCACTAACTCATGTGTCACCATCTGAGAAGTAATACATTTAGATGAAAAAAAAAATATAGAACAGAAGATGGGCTAGTAGGAAATAACCTGTTTTTAATCACATAAATGTCATTTGTAAGAAGACACAAAGGATAAGAAATATTAAAAATAGAAATAAAAATAAATGGGTACTTTTCTCTACTGGTTTTCCATTTGGCCTCAGTAGTTCTTTGAAAATGATTGAGTTGACTTTTCTATTAGGTATGTTCTTGGAAGGGTCACATAGACGATTGGTGAACAATTGTAGAAGGATATTTATTTTGTTATTTTGTCAGCAACATTAGTATCTATTTAAATCAGTGTGATCATCATGATTTGAAAACAAAAGTGAAGAAGGAAGACTAGGAATCTGTTGAGATGTCCAAGAAAGTGGGATGGAGGGAAGAAGTTGGTACTTTCATTACTTCACTGGCAGGAAGACAGTTTGGGACTCATGGTCCTGAAAACAACGAAATGACCAGCATCATCCTAGCAAAAGAGATCTAAGTCAGAGCTGGGGTGTTTCAGTACCCTGCCGGACTGGAAAGAGAGGTACCAATCAGAAACGCAACAACAACTTTTTCAAACATTCATTCATATCTTCACCTCGATATCCATCTCTCCCCTTCCTGTCTTGGAGAATTGGTAGCCTTATAAAATGTGCTAGCATGTTAGGAGAGTCTTAGGAAAGAGGAGAGGCCCTGCTCAAGGCTCTGAAGATACATGATGGGAAAGTCAGAGTTGCCTGCTCCTCTGAGCTCATGCTCTGGTGGACTGAGTTAATACAGGGACATGGATAAGCAGAGGCACAGAACATTTTTCAAGAATAAAACAGAAAAGGGGGGTGTGACAAAATGCAACAGCTGGAGAGTGGGTAATTGGTACTTGGAAAGGTGAGAAGTGAAGTCTATCTGGGGTGGCAGCATTTAAGTTCAGGGAAATGCCAGGTGCACAGATTTTAGTCAGTACTGTGTCTTTACAATAGAAGCAATGAACAAAGACGTATTTGATTGTCTTAACGAAATAAACTCATGGTGGTTACTCTGGGTGCAGACTAAAACCTGGAACTCCATTGCCATTGGACAGTTTTATATATTTTTGAAAATGAGAAAAAAAAAAAAAAGAATTCAACACCTAACCAGAGGGGACATGCAAACCTCAGCAAAAACAATGCTACATCATTGTAAGTGATATTTAACCTGCTATAAACAATAGTGTATTGGGGGATTAGTCCTAAAGTAAGAAGCTTCAACAGCTGGAAGCCAGGCCGTGCTGGATGGCAACCAGGCTACCCAGACACAGGGGATCTCAGTGCTGGGTATAGCCCATTTTCCCACTTGCAGGGATTGCCACACATACAGCAAGCCCCTAGAAGAAACCCCGCTTTCTTGTGGTTCCTCTTTGCAGGGAATTCTGTTGTCAGTATAGAGAGAATGGAAGAACAACAGTGGCTCAAAACGAAGCAAGTGGGAGGAATAGGCTTCCAGACAGAGCGGGGTCACACTCAAGATTCATGACATGTGCTGAAACATTTTAACCATGAATCTTTAGTTTAACAAAACTCACTTATGTTTAACTTAAACCATAGCTCTTTAAAGAAAACAAAAGGAAAGAAAACACATTCTTTTTCAACTAACAAAAGCTTGTGGTACACAAACAATAGATACTTTTTGTCTTCATTTTTGTTTTATATTTTGCATTTGAGTGCCCTGAGACTAATACTGGAAGGTGGGGGCTGTGTCTATTTTGCTGTTCATGTTTGACATGGACTGAAGGAGAAAAAATGCAAGAGATTTGAGTGTAAGCCTAAATTTAGATAAAAAGCAAAAAGTCTTAACATATTAATACAGAGGTGAAAATTCTTCACTGACAAAAGTCAGGTTTTTGTTTTTGTTTTTTTCTCTTCTACAGCCAGGACATTCATTAACTATATAGAAAATAAAAGCCAGCAATTTTCATAGTTAAGCCATATACTTCTATCTGTTCTGTGTGCCATAGATCTTAGGAAGTGAGCAGAGTAGAAGACCTTTGACTGCAGTGCAGGGAAGAGCAGGAGCGCAGAAGCCACACTGCCTGCAGCTTTGCATACACTCAGAGCTCTGCTCCAAACGTGGAGGCTGCTAGCGATGCTCTTTGGGGACATCCTATTGCAGTGGATTCCTTGTGGACTCCTGTGACTATGACACGGTGGCCTTGAATGGGTAACCCATGGGCTCAGTCTGGCCTGGTGGACATATCATGCATGTTCTAGTCCCTGCCCTACCTTTAATTGCTACAACACTGAAAAATTGGAGGAGTAGTCCAGGCTTCTGATTTTTTTTTTTTTAATTGGAAGATTTGGCAGTTCTGGGCCTACACTGTTATATGGTCATACTTGGCAAGAATAGTAGTGGCTGTCCTCAATAGCAAGCACCTCCCACCTGGCCCTGGCCTTCATTTAATGTTATTTTGTAAGCACTTTTGTTTGCTCCCTCTGCTGGAGCTAGGGCTGGACCAAAATAGCCTTTTTAACACTGGCTCAGAAGGCATGTTACATAAGCAGAGAAGCCTTGGCTGTGGCCAGCTGAAATACTGAAGTTCATGTGTACATCAATTTGATGGATGCTTTCTGATCAGGAAAGACCATTCCACTCCCCAGGAAAGCTGAGAGGAGAGATTTAGAAAATGCTGGAGAACAAGCTTCACATCAAGAAGGAAGCATTGAGGACAGTCACCATTCGCATTTCCTTCTGTGTGATTCTCCCCTTTATTAGGGATTTTTTTTTTTTGTTGTTTTCTAATGTGTCCCTGGGGAGGGGGTGGTTAAAGAAATATTTGAGTAGGAGCTTTATCAAGGAGCCTAAGGTTTTAATGAGAAGACCCTCCCCTCCTCTCTCTTCCTCTCTTTCTTCTAAGTATTTTAGTCAAGCGCCAGATTATATTCTAACTACATTTCCTGGTCTGAAAAAGCCTGGGCAAGTGGCCAGAGCAAAGCAGGCGGTTGTCAAGAGTGGGAGTGACTCATACACCGAAGACTGTGGAGGAGATAATCCAAAAATTTGGAAAAACTAGTATTAACCTGTAATAAGAATTAGTCCCAAACGCCACTGTGCTTGCAAGCTGTACTTGGGGCTTTCTAAGTAGAAACAGTGGAACACATTCTTTGTAATAGGTTACAAACCACCATGGGGGAGAGATATAAAGCAAAGACTCCATCGAAAGACATGGATTCTCCTCCCCTTCCCACCAAAGTTGCCACTGCTTGGCTTCCAAACACTTAGCTTGAGCTTTGAGTAGATGTGGGCTCAGCTATTTGGGAAGTAGAGCAGATAGGAACATACCTTCTTCCATTTAAAAAAATAAATTGCTGAAATTGTTTCATCGAGAGTGGCAAGTAGCTGGTAATTATTAGCATTTTTGTTGCTAATCTAGTTACATATTTAAGTATACATTTAACCCAACACTAGCAAAATATGTTATCTCTGAAGGAAGTCACAAGTTATGGATAGCAGCATGCAGCAAGGTTAGAAAGAAGATGTGTACTAAGGATCAAATTTTAAAGTCTGATAAAACAGTTCTTAAACCAATAATAGAGCAAGAGTGTTCCATATATTCAACAGTCAACAAATGCCTCTTCTTGATGTCTAGACTTGAGAAATATAGTGTACCAGAATAGTTGAGGTCCTTGTCCTGAAGAGGCTTGTCTTCTAGTGGGGCAAAGATTGATAGTGGAGAAGTAGAGATGCAGACTGAGGAGCCCAATAAAGAAAATAAAGCCAGCCTTCGCATGGAAAGAAGAGTGACTGGTGGAGACCCATGTGTTCAGAGGAAAGTGTAGAGGAAAAACCTCCTTAAGATAATGACATATTTAGGGTTGGAGAGATGGCTCAGCCATTAAAGGCTAGGTTCACAACCAAAAATATAAGATACTGACATATTTAATCATTAGTCCTGAGATGGAGCCAGTCATGACATGCCAAGAGAAATCACTGGGGGAAAAGATATCATCATATGTAAAGTCCTTAAAGTTGGGGTATGCATAGAGGCGGGGAAAATGCAGATTACAAATAAAAAGAAGGCCTGAGTGGCTGGCATCAAGAGTGGTACAAGTTAAAGGCTAAAAGATAGACAGGACCCAAGTTATATACAGAAGCCATCAGAGGGCTGATGGGGAAAGTACTTCTGTGTATGTTTATTTTATTGATTGTTGAATAAAGTACTGTTTGGCCAATGAGGCAGCAAGTTAGACAGGACTAGGAGTCAAAGAGGATTCTGGGAAATGTAGTAAAGAAGTGATGATCCAGGCAGGAAATGAAATAGCAGGGAGACTCATACATGAACAAGGAAGAAGGAAGAGGGCCCTCTCTTCCTCCAGATTCGCAATGTGATCCACCGGCAAGGGAGGACGCCATTGGAAGGCGTCTGATAAGATAAGTCTTATAAAACATATAGATTTATGATAATTAAGACTGAGCTAACAGATGAGAATCCTAGTCATTGGCCAAGCAGCATTTGTACCTAATATAAGTCTCTGTGCATTAATTGGGGACCTAACTGGGCAGGCAGAACTCAGGTGGCTGGCAGAGATCACCCACGTGGTGGTAGGGCTCGGGTGGCTTTGGGTGGAAAGATTTATCGTACCAGAGGGTTTTAATATTAAAGGCATGGTCTTGAGGACTCTAGACTCTAGACTAGGACAGGAAAGCTATAATCTACAAACTGCATATGAGACTCTGCTTCTTTGTAAATAAAGTTTTACTGGAAGAAAGTAATGCCCATTCACTCTTATACTGTGCCTTGATGCTTTTGCACTACATAACGATCATACATAGCCATGAAGCTGAAGTGATTACTATCTGATCCTTTAATGAAAGTGTTTGTCAATCCTTATGCTGCATTATGTGTGTTTTCATGGATTTTGGAGTGTTTTATTTGAACTAGGCAAAATTGTCTACCCTTTAGCTTTACTTTCTCAAAAGGCAATTATGCTTCATTACAAGAACAAGAATTTTTGGGAAAATACAAATTTGATTCAAATAGGGATCAAGCTCCTCTGTATTAGGCAATCAAGTGGCCAAAGATTGATTAATCATAGCTACATGTGACATGACACAGTATGAGGTCCATAAGCAAGTTTAATTATTTCATGACCACTAAGGAGCCAGTACTGCTATGCTTGTAATTTGCTGTCTTCATGGTGTAGAAGTTACTTCTCATAGTATCAGGAAGGTTGCAATAATTACAGATGTTAATGTAAACAAACAGATAGATATGTAGCAATAGAGTATGCTGGTTATTTCTCTCTTTAGCCTCTTGATTGGGGATGAAAAAAATCTTGTAGTTCATAGCTTCTAACTCCTGACATTTCATTGGCTAGATTGTCCTGGGTTCATACCAGTGTCTGGTAAGGAGTATGGATTTACTGTGTTTGATTTAGAATGACACTACTACTTGATCTCTAGAATTCATAGCTGTGAAGACTGAGTGCCTAATAGAAGTCAGTGTTCTGCCCTGAAGAGCAGCCAGGAAAGACAAGGTGTTCATCAAGGGACAAGATCCCCATATAATAGAAATGATTTCATGTCTGTTTTAAGATACACAGGGAATACATATGAAACATGGCAGTCAGAAGACTCAGAACTGGGGTGAATCTGCCTCCCAGGATGTGGGTTGTTGATGGTAGGATATGGTTGATGACATGGCTGTTGTTTTATTCTATTGCTCTTACAGTGGGTTGAGTAATTCATTCCCACATGTTGATAAATGCTCTCAAGGCAACATGTACAATACATTTGTCCTCTCTTGTGAGTCATCTTCCCAAACAGCTGTCCACTGAGATCGAAGAAACCACAATTGTTTGAGCATGAACTTGTTTCAATTGAGTTTTGCAAGTAAGGGCTTGATTCTGTGTTAGGCTTACCTGGGTTTCCAAACAGGTTCCTCCAAAAGCATCCCTAGTTATTTGCCTTCTTTACCTTCTAGCTAGAAACCACCACTTCTCTGATAGTCTCCTTCAGGGCCTATTATTTTGCTTTGCAAAGGATGCCTCATTGAGAAAAATTATATTTGTTTCTTTAATCTTGTATGTATGTCTTTTATATGTAAAGGGCCTAGTGCCTGGCCCTTGATGGGGTTTAAAGCCTAGTTCTCAAGAGGCTGTTCCAGTTTTTGGGTTAATGGCAGTTTTTTTGTGACATCTGTGAAATTCCTGTAGAAAGAAACACCCAAGGTCTGGAGAGTGCAACTGGGTAAGGACCAGAGAGGGTGGACTGAATCTAGCCATACTAGATAAACTTAACTACTACCCAAGCTTCGGATTTACTTTTCTGTTTAGCAGCAATTTTTATTATGATTGGGAAGTGATTGACATCCTGTATTTCGTGAAAAAAAAAAGAAAAAACCTAGTTCAGGCCAGGTCATTTCGGTTTCAAGACAGCCACTTGAGTAGGATTGACTATTGCAAAGCATAGAACTTAGCTTTGACTCTCTGAGGAACTGTATGATTCTGAGTCTACGAAACTACATGACTCCTTTCCTGACTGTAGCCAGCATCATATCCTTTTATTCTTTCTGCTGTGAGAACACCTTCCATGTGTTTAAGTGTGATAGCACACTAGGGAACAAATGAATAAGATATTTATTGATGCAACTTGTATGAACTCAGTGTATAGGCCCAGTCCTCATCCTTAGGATCTAGTCTTGTGAGGCTAACTGACCTCCAAGAAAGCAGCAGAAACAATAAGAGGAGACTTAAAGGATACAGAAGTGTTCTCTATGGGAAGACAGGACCCTAAATGCCAGATTGGGCTTAGAGTGTGTGACTTTGAGCCACTTAGTAAGCATCTATGAGTCTCACTATGCTTATGTGTAAAGTAGGGATACCATTTAGAGTACTTAGCATGGAATTACAGGGAGTGCAGAGGGAAGCAATGGCTCTAGTGTAATATTTGATGCATGTGAGTCTTAAGTAAGTATTACCTATTGCTATCTACCACAAAAAGGGTAAGCCTTGTTAGGGAACAGCATTAGGCTTCTGCATAGATGTGGCAAACAAATGCTATTACTGTGTTCTGATTCTGTGATTTGGGGCTTCTTACATAACTTCCCCATGCTTCACAATTCTAATGTATAAAATTGAGGTAATGACCATCACACAGAGCTAGCATAATGGTCAAATGGTATAAAAAGCAAAGCCCTTGGCATGACAGCCACACACCAGCTCAATAATATCAACTACAGTAGTCTAACTACTGCAACTACTAACACAACAAGACAATAATCTATGGAATCAGAAAGCACTTTATAAGCATGTGTCATTTGTTGCCATGGGCAGGGTCAAAGCTGTTAGTTGTTGTCACTGTGTCAACAACCCAGCACCTGGTTTCTTGGTAGTGGATCTGCGGCACCTTATTTGTGTAGTTTGTACAGAACATTAAACTACGGAAAATTTGAAAGCTGCTGTCTCTTTGTTTCCATTGGCCAGTGCAGAGTGTGACACACCCTGGCTCTTAAATGACCAAGCTTTCCTGGATGTTTTCCTCTTACATTAAAGAAAAGACTACAAATACCCTGGATGGAGAATGTACTTCACAGCTAGTCTGATGCTCCATGTCATAATCCTCAATGATACTCTAATTTTACACAGACCCCTCTGTGCATAAGAATGAGTTGTAGGGTACAAATGACCAAGAAGTGGATGACATGGAAGTCTGATCTGCTGTGTTGTTAAGACCTCAGGGCTTGTTAGACTGGTACTTGTATTGACACTATTCCTGACTACCCAGTAATGAAATAACAATCTCCCTTTCTAAACAGGGGAGCATGCTTTATCCACTCTGATATTAAACATTCAGCAGAATTGATCCCACCCTAGCTGCTTACTAGAAAGTATACCTGGCCAGCCAGAGAGTTGCTTTCAGTAGTCCAAGGGACTGTATGTCAGACTTGGGACTTAGGTCCTTTGTGTTTTATTTTAGAAGACCACTGACATGCAGAAAGCACCAGGGCACTTTCTGAGAATGAGACAGACTCAGTGGGAGGCAGAGGAGAGAGACGTGATAAGGTACAGTGACATTTTTAACAGTCTACAACTTGGGGTTTTCTATATGTGAACCAAGGAATTCATTTGGTTTTATATTTGTTTTTCTTTCAGAATCTGAATACACTCAAAGATAGTATTGAAGACACTCAGAAACAAGTAAGATATACTTTATTGATCCACCAGTTGGTTGAAGCTTCTTGGCAAACCAAAGCTTGCAGAATATAGTTGGGAAACTGTCCGAAACTCCTTTGGCAGCTGGACTGGAAAATAAAAAAGCACAGAAGTAGCAAATACTCTGTTACCAATTATAGATCTGGACCTGAGGCCAGCCAGTGACTTGCCTTTGTGTCCCTATTGCTATCCCCATAAATCCAGGCATGGCCATGGCAGCCTTCCTGGAGATGATCCACAGAGCAAGGCAATCCAGGGACTTGTTTGGGTGGTTCAAGACAGTGTCCCTGAGAAGTGGTCTGTACATGGATCTTTGTACCCAAAGAACAAATTGTTTGGGGAAACATATTCTGAGTTCCTTTGAAAATGAACAATTATTTTTAATTTTTTTAAAACTTAAGATCACACTGAACTATTCCTTACCAGATTTTCAGAAAATGGGAAGGGCAGAAACTGGCTTAAGGCTTTCTTTCAGCATACTGTAGTATTTACTCCCAGCTATCTTCCCAAAGATGAATGAATGCTCGGTTATTTTTTGCTGGAGGGGAATGCAGAAGCAGTCACAGCATAAAAACAGCGGCAGCGTTCCTGTGAAGTAGTTACTTTGAACTTGATCCATATGCAATTCACACATATCACATGCATTCATATGCATGACCTTGATGCATGGGGTGCACGCCATACGTATCACATGCATTCTTATGCATGATTTGCACTACAAAGACAGGTGCAATTTTTATCTTGTCTAAGGAGCAACTAAGCTCAAGGTAGCATCTAGTGTCTTTGGGGGGATTTGATCCTAAAAGCCCTTACCCAGTAATCTGGTTTTCTGGCATGTACCTTTACAAGGCAAGTGAAAATACTCACTCTTTGCATAATAATGGCAAAAGCAGTAATAGAAGACACTTAAATTGTTTGCCCTTGGACTATGCATATTCTAGGTGAAAGTAAGACATCATATTAATGTCAAATCTAGAAAACTGCAGAATAGTACATTATTTAACCCTATTTGTTAATCACTTTAGAAAATAGAATTTTCTTAATGGGATCTCCAGATAGTGAGTTCTCAATGTGTTTGTATTATCTAAAAAGTTTCTCTGAAAGTGAACTGAAGATAGATGTGCTGTCTTTCTTTTCCTTCTAAAATCTTATATAACTGACTATAGATAACTAACAAGCAAACATAAAGAACTGGTAGCAAGTCCACTGAGATAATAAAAAACTTAGGAACCCATGAATGCAAAGACTGCTGACTATCAGAAAAGAGAGCGATTCAAATAAGATTAAGCAGTTAATAGGTTCAAGGTTCTGGATTCACGTTCTTCCTATCTGTAAACATGTGGATCTAGGGGTGTGGCTTCACTGAATCAGCTTAGGATGAATAAGAATGGCCTGCATATTTGACATGCCATTCATGGGATAGAGAAAGGTTTTTTTTTTTTTTTTTTTTTTTTTTAAATTTTAGGTTCTTAAAAAGGGATGCAAATTTCATCATTGTATCTGACTTATAGCCAAGCTACAGCAAAAGCCACCTTTGTTTTGAAGTAATGGATGGTAGCAATATAACTTTTTTTTTTTTGGTAGATCTTAAGTGACATCATTTAATGTCACTTATGGTCAACAGATACAAAAAAATAAAGGCAGTGGGACATAGCTGTGAAAAAATAGTGGTGTGGACAGAGACAGCACACGGCTCAATCTTACTATCTACAAGAGAAGTTACAAAAGCACTAGAAAGTAGGTGGGTAAATTTGCTCTCAAAGCATAATTCTACTACCTGGGAAGTTCAGTAATTACTCCAAAGTGGGGTTCTGCAAAGCACACCTTCTCAGTATAGACATGATCATCAGGCTGACCTTTTCTCTCTTCCAGACTCCCCTGTTGAGGAGTAGCCTTGTTTTCATATGAAATTGGAACTCTGGGAAAAGTTTAAACTGTGGTTGCCAAGCTGTGCAATATGGCTTGAGAGTTCTAGTTGAACGGCCTACTTGGGAATAGCTGTAGCTTGTTGTGTTTGCTTTTGTGTATCAGGAGCTCATTTCTGTGGATGTATAATGACTTGGTCACAGATGCATTGTGTTGACCAGCTATTCTTTGCAAGAATATGTGATGAGACAGTGTTTGAAGAGATGGTTCCATGGTAAATGTTTTACCCTCAGTCCTGAATTCTCAAGTATCTTGATCCATTGTATTTTCATGCTGTCATCATTGTGTTTTGGTGTGTGCCTCCTGACAGGTGATCCTCAGATTTGGGTCCACAGACAGATAAAATTGGACAATTTTATTGATGGGTCCAGCTTCATTCAAATTACAAGGAGGGTAGGAAGAGAGTACCTAATTTAAAAATGTCAACACATAATGTCATAATTTGGATAAGGATGATGGCTGTGCATATTGGTGATTGGCAAGCTAAGATCTATGAGAGGAGGCCCATATTTTGGTATTATGTATGAAGTTAAGGATGCTTTTGCATTTTACTTTTTGTTTTTGGTTTCATACTTTGAATGATAATATTTCATGGATATATAAATTCCTGTGGATATCCATGACTTTGTGACTTGGCTAGCTTCTTGCTTAGATCACCATTTTAACTTCAAGGTCTTGAACAACATCAGAAATAGGCATGGCTGGGCGTTGGTGGCACATGCCTTTAATCCCAGCACTCGGGAGGCAGAGGCAGGCGGATCTCTGTGATTTTGAGGCCAGCCTGGTCTCCAGAGTAAGTGCCAGGATAGGCTCCAAAGCTACACAGAGAAACCCTGTCTCAAAAAACCAACAAAACAAAACAAACCAAACAAACAAAAAATCTGAAATAGGTATTAGGTTGAAATGGATATTTATTGATTGGAATGACTCACAGTGCTCTTTATTTATTATGTGGTGGTAAGCACTATATCACCTAATTTCCTCTGGAGTGGATATGGCTGATTTGTTTAGTTGAGTAAAACAAAAGCCATGCAGGTGGTATTCAGGAACAGAATTCAATGTGCTTGATTCTATGTTGGTTAGTTATTTTATCTTTGTTCTTTAGTTATGGATCTTAGGCAGCTTTCTTGCCATTTGGAGCTCTCAATGTCAGTGTGTCTTGTTGCCATTTTTTTGATGTTTAATTTTGCTACTTGTGTTGATATTTTGTTTATGCTATAACAAAGCTTGCCTGAATATTAGAGTGCAGAGATAGCCACACTAGTTAGCAATAGAGGCCAGGCAATGGTGCACACCTTTAATCCCAGCAATCAGAAGACAGAGGCAGATGGATCTCTATTAGTTCAAGATTACCCTGGGCTACAGGAAATTGATCAAGTCTAAAAGAGAAACAGAGCTCACGCAAAGGTGATCCTAGCACTTGGGATCAGTCAGTCAGTGCAATCAGTCTGAGGATGCAGTCTGAGGAGGAAGTCTGAGGATGCAGTCTGAGGACAGGATCACCCCTTTGGTCTGAGCATTGGTAGAGGTAAGAACTCTAGTGGCTGGCTGCTCTACTTCTCTGATCCTTCAGCTTTCAACCCCTGATAGCTGACTCTGAGTTTTTATTATTAAGAACAATTAGAATCCATGCTACAGCTACTGGAACAAATTTTTGGGTATTTGTTACCAATGTATATTATTATTCTATGTATTGGATGTTTTCTGAATCAGAATTCTCTTATGAAAAAGCCTCTAGATGATCTGGATACACACTCAGTTTGTAGGAACTCTTCCCAGAATCAGGCCACAATTCCTTCCTAGCAGAATACTAATATTCTTGAGGCACCTATGCTTCCCACAACACAAGTCTACATGTCTCCAGAAACTGATTGCAGTTATAGACAAGGCCTTAGTTGACTTGCAGAGTCTTTCCATGGAAGAAAAACAAAACAAAACAAAAGCCCCAAAATCCCATGTAACTCAAATTTAATGGTGCTAATTTGGACTGATGACACATATTGGAAGTGTTTTCTTAGGTTTGTAGGCAATATGATTCAGATGAACATCATTGTCCATAGATGAAATCTTTAGAATGCTTCATAGGAAGCAAGCAAACAAACAAAAACAGGATTGGAGCTGACAGGGTCACAGGGAATAATGTCATTGAGCAAACTCACCCACGTACTCTTGTCAAATGAATAGAGTCTCCACAATATAATTACTTATTATCTGTTTATTAGATGACATGTATTAGGTATGAGTTGAATGGACCATTTCAGGTTTTATCATTAAATGTACAAAAACATGTAGGGAAGATGTACTTCCTATTTACAGATGAGAAAAGTGAAGGCAATATAAAAATCAGAGCAAAATGAAACCAATAGCAAACAACATACACTGCAGCTTTCAGCTATCCACTATCACATTACACTGGGCACTCAGCATGGCCAGGAGGAAAAGCCTTTTCTAACCACTTATTTGTACTTGAAAAAAAATGCAAGAAGCAAAAACCTTTTTCTTAACGTTATTGGTAATAAAGCCATGGAATCCCTTTTATCATACAATAATACAAGGTCATAGTATTATTTTAAACACAAAAATAAAAGAAAAATTTTCCTTGGTTGATTTCGGAGACAGGATCTCTCTATGTAGCCCTGACTGTCCTGGAACCTACTATGTACAGCAAGCTAGTCTCAAATTGACAGAGATTTGGCCAGCTCTGCCTCCTGAGTTCTAGGATTAAGAAGTATACTACTATGTCTAGCAAGAAAGAGATTTTTTAAAATATAGAGGCTATGGGTCTCTAATTATGTTACAGAATCATGGTAATAAAACAGCAGGGACCTGGCATATAAACAGACATGTAGAACAAAGGAATAGTATAGAGGGTCCAGAAATAAACCCACATGCTACAACCACATAATTTCTTGACAAATCTGCCAAAAAATATACATTAGTGAAAGGACAGCCTCTTTAACAAAAGGCACTCAGGAAACTGGATTTCTTTGTAGAGAATGAAACTAAATCCACATCTCTTACTCTTCACAAAAATCAAAAATGGATAAAAGACCTGAATGCAAACTATGAAAATTTGAAAGTGGTAGAGGAAAACTTTGGTAGACTGTTTTAGATAGAGACACAGGCAAGCACTTTCTGAACAGGACTCCAATAGCTCAGGAGTATTCAAAAGGACTGACAAACACCAGTCTATGAAATTAAGGGTCAGCCTACACAATGGGAAAAAACTTCACCAATTACACATTAGAAATTGAATAATATCTGGGATATATGAAGAACTGCAAAAATTAAACCTCCAACCCCCAAAACCATCAATTGATAAACATGCACTAATGAATTGAATAGACAGTATTCAAAAGAAGAAAAACAAATGAACAACAACAACAAAAAATACTTGAGAAGGTGTTCAACATTCTTAACTGTCAGAAGTTAAATCAGCTTTGATATTACATCTCCTCCCATTCAGAATGACTGTCATTAAGAAACTATTGACAACAAATTCTGGTGAAGGTGTGGAGAAGAGGGAACACTTATATACAGCTGAGGGCAATTTGAACATGGATATCCACTATGGATATGAGTATGGAGGGTCCTCAAGGAAACCTATAAATAGAACTACCATACAGCTCAGCCATACCACTCTTGGGTATATACCCGAAAGGACACTAAGTCAACATATGCCAGATACTTGAATGTTCATGTTTATAGCTGCATGGTTCTCACTGGTGAGATAAGGATGTATGGTGTGTGTGTGAGAGAGAGAGACAGACAGACAGAGAGAGAGTTTGTGTATGTGTGAATTTGTGTGTGTGTGTGTGTGTGTGTGTGTGTGTGTGTGTGTGTGTGTGTGTGTACACACGCACGCACGCTCAGGGTTCCATGTTTACATGTGTGCATGCTGGTGCATATGTAGATCTCAGACTAGAAAGAGGATTATGAGAGGGATAGAGAAAGATACTGTAAGGGAAGTGAGAAATAGAGAATACATGTGATATACATAAAAGCAAGAAGGGAGACACACTGTCCTAGTGAAAGGAAAGAGTGGGGATAAGAAAGAGCAGTGGGAGAGGGAAAAGAGGAAAACGGTCTAATGATATAATGTTGTGAGGACGCCATGATGAAACTCAATATTTTGTATGTTAACTTAAAAAATAACTTAAAAGGAAATAACCTATATCTAAAGGTTTCATATACATTTATGTCTCTTAGCATACTGGAAAAGTTTTAATTATAATATTAAACCACTTAGACATACATAATGCTGAAAGACGGACATGATGCTGTATTAAAGTATTTTATTAAAAACAACTGTCAGCTTTCCAGTGTGTTTATGCTGCTGGTGACTATTACTTTGTTATGTGGGTGAACACAAACAAGAGTAGTCACTCAGTCAAGCTGGTTCCTGGGAAACCCTCTGGTGCTTTCCGAAGCTCTTTCAAGCCACGAGGGTGGCATTTGGTAATTGACTGTTGAAGAAGACATGTAGTGGCAATCTATTCATAGAAAAAAAAGATGTTTCACTCAGGAGAATCTGACAGGGGCAACTTATCTTGTAAACTACTAGGAAGGAGGATGAAAACGAAGTGGCTGTCACATCAGAGTCAGAACACCAAGTACCATGTGCTTTGACTCTGCAGAGCAGACCCAGGAGGAGGCTAGATCAGAAGTCTGCTAACCACAGACAGCATCTGCCTTTTGTTTCCTTAGTAGAATGAAACTCTCACACACAAATGGTGCCGAAATGTCATCTGGCATCTTTCTGGCTGGCTCTGGGGAGAGTTGGTGGTTTTCACGTAGTTCCTGGAGCACATGGAACTCCAGACCTGTTGGGAGTTAGGCTACATTTGCCAAACACATTAAATAAGGCCTGTTTAGAATACATTAACCTTAAGAGCCAAATAAATCCATCAATAGCATTTATTTGCCACCCACTATTTTCAGTTCCTGAGGAGGGTGGAAAGTCACAATTAAAAGGGAACACACGGATTGAAGGTATAGAACATTCATCAGTGAAAATGTCAACTACCAAGTTTTAAAAGCTAAAAGAGAATTTGGAAAATCATTTCCCAAGTTTTTTCCAGAGATCACGGAACTTAGTGGGTCATGACTAAGGGCTCCAGGGTCAAGCAAGTTAAAGTATGGCTCCACTAAAGTGTTTCTGCACACAGGGCTTCTTGTGCTGGGTCCGTTGTCTTGTTTTTCTATTCCTGTGATGAGACACTCTAACGAAAACAAAATGCCAGGGCACAGACCATCACTGTGGGGAGGGAATAGCTGCAGGAGCTGGCAGAATCAGCTCACAGTGTGTCCAGAGTCAGGAAGCAAACAATGATGAACACTTGTTCTCAGGTCCCTTACTCCACTTACATAGACCAGGTTCCCAGCTTGGAGCATGATTTCACCCACAGTGGGCAGTTCTTTCCTTCCTCAATTTAACAATGATAATCCTAGACAGGCAAATCCAGAGGCCTGCCAGTCTGCTGGTTTCCTAGGTGATTCCAGGTCATTTCAAGTTGACAATGGAGGTTAATTATTGTACATTTAAATGCATCCTGAAGCTCCAGTATGGCTCTATAGCCTGGCTTTGATAGATTTTTGGAAACAGTGACTTCAAGTTGTTATTCAGCTCCCATCATCTGTCACTGAAGAAGATGACATGAAGCAATTTGTCCAAGACCATGTAGCTCACAGCAGAGCCAAGATCAAGTGCTTAGCTCCCTTTCTTTCAAATCTTGTGACTTGTAGTTGCAGTTACTACTGGGTCTGCATTTCCTAATCATGTATTTTTGAGGGACCATGCCTTGTTTCCACAAATTGGTGGGTTGAATGATCCTACATTCACAGTTCAAGAAAATGGAAGAAGACCCAGGATTCAGGAGACTGGGGCTGGCATGGAATTGCTGCCTCCCCTGTGGTTGTTATTGGTAACCTGGAGTTATCTTTTTTTACTTTTTTTTGCAGGGTGGGTGGGGGCAGCTTTTTCTATGGCTGTTAGCTGATCACACAGCACTGACCTGCGTTGCGTCTGGCCTCTGGTTAAAAGTTTAATCTCATTCCAGGGGTAAATAGAATAACCTGGGGGAGGATTTAAGAATGGTGAGGTCATGGAATTACCCAGATTGGAATCTTTTTAAGGAAAGGGGATTTCTTTTCTTCTCCACAGTGTCTGCCTTAATACTTCACACACATTAGATGCTAAATCAACAGTAAATGTCAACACCATAAAATATGAGCAGAAGGAAAATTAATAGCATTCAGTGTGCTGTACACATGAAGTTGACTACAAGGAACTTGAGGAGGTACTGCCTATGTTTTGGGTTGTGTTTTGTACAGTATGAAAACTATGGTTTTTAAATAAGAAGGCCTTTTTCACATTGTATATGATATTAGAAATGGAAACATAAGCAGATTGAAAAATAATTTGGATTCTTTATCTGCTGGGCTCAAGAGAGTGATTTGTAGTACTTAATAATATGGTTAGAACTAATTCCATTTTCCTAATGTGAATTGTTTTTCCAGTCCCCTGGCAGGTACCATGTTGAAGCTTTTAGATAAATCTTGGCTTCCACGGGACTGACTTTGGTTGTTACCTCATTTGAAAGATGAGAAAAATGCACTAATGTGTCAGGAAATTTGTAGGGTTATTAACTTGACTATGCCCTTCAAAAAAAATATGCCAGCCTTAATTCTAAGTAGAGGTGTCTCACCTATACCCTAAAGCTCATGGAATCCTGGGATGAATCACTGGTTATAAATCACAATGCATGGTGACAGGGATGTAGAACTCAACCTCGTTCAGTCCCCCAGAGCTGGGTCCCCCAGTGCAGTGGACAGAAATGCAGATAAAGAGAAAGGATACCAAGAGAGATTTTTATTTACTCTTTTGTTCTCCTTCCACAATTTCCACAGGCAGTCATAACCATTACAGCTAGAAACAGTAATGGCTCTATAACCATCCTGAAGCTTCTAAACCACTCTTGAAAATGAAAACAAATGATGCAATAAGCACAACAAGCCTTTGGGAAAGCTGACCATAAAGGATGCTGAAGCAGGCATGAAAACACACACCACACTACCTGCCTGGAGCACGTTTCTCTTGATCTTAAACCTTCAAGAACCCAACTGCTACCCACAGGCCTCAGTGCTGTGAGATGCTTTGTTGTCAAACCACAACCTCCCATCATCCCTTGGAGGCATCCTGAAACATCCTTGTAACATCTGTAAAATGTACCCCATTAAGCTAACAGAATGAATAAACATCTCCCTGAAAGCAACATTATTGAAAATAAGTGTGTTACACAGTAGCTCTCCTAGCTCTAATTAAAAGGAAAGAATTGGGGGCAGGAAATTGATTTTTTCCCTTAATGTTTAGATGACTTGACCTAACTAGCGTATCTTTACAATTTGCTAACACCCTCATTAGAGTTACGCTAAATAGACAAACACAGCAGTGCCAAGGAAGATGCCACAGAACAATTTTCTGTGAAGAAGGGAGTTTAATTAAAAGTGGCTTAACTTCCATCCTTTGGTACTCTAGACATCCAAGGTAGCATGACTAGTGACATGTATATATTTGAGATTAAAGTGAAGCTTTGGTAAAAGGAGGGCAAATTCATAGTAAATACATTATTTAAAGATTAACTGTTTTACCTGTGGTCCAGTCTCCTTTCCCACGAAAGCATTGCCTAACCTAACAGATACATCTTTTTTTCTGTCTTCTGGCCTGTGTCATGGTTTTCTATAAATTTGTTTCATACACAGTGGAGATAAATTAGGTTCTTTCCCTAGTTTGTCCAAACTGTGAATAAATCTGTTTTATTTAAAAAATGAACAGTTTTTATTTTTCATCAAAGAGGCTTACATACAACTGAATTTCTGTTATGCAGGTTGCCCATTAATGCCACTCCTGTTGACCTGATACCTCTGTGTCCTCATAGCCACAAAGGCAGACACACTTTAAGGTGACCCCAGGAGTCAACTCTCTTTTTGTTCAAGCCTGTGCAATCACCTGTTGAATGTGGATAAGACCTGTGGCTTGCTTCTAATCAGTGGAATATGGTAAGGTTAGGGGATATTTCTGATTACAATACTGGTGGTTGTAATGCCTGTCTACTAAGTGAATTCCCCCTTGCTGGATTTGAAGAAGCGTGCTTTTATGATTGCTCTGCCTGCACAGAGAGCCTGGGTAAGCATCCTGTTGTCACTGTTCAGCATGAGGCCATACTAATGCAAAGAGTTGATAATGCCAAAAACCTCATTAGTTTGGAACCAGATCCTGCCCCAGGGGAAAGTATGAGAAGTCTCCCAACCCATGGTCAACATCTTGATGGCAGGGGACTCAGCTAAGCCTCAAAGATTCCCCAGTGCTATGACATGAAGTATCACTAGGAACGGATTCTACATGGGCTGTGTGGGGAGAATGGCCACAGCCCCCATTGGTCAATAGAAATGGCCATAGACATAGGCTTCTCCTCTTTCTCCATTGGAAATGCATTCCACATCACTGTTGAGGAGGCCTGGAGGTATGGAGCATCAGAAGTCCAACCTAGGCAGCAACTCCATAAAGATCCATCACATTGGTTGTCTTTCCCTCCTTGCAGCCCTTCTTTCTCTGATCCACAAGGACCATTTGGCAATCAAATAACTCATAATTCTCTAAAGTTGTTTTATTTAATTATCACTAATGTGTGTATGTACTAATCTATATATGTATGCTGTGTGTGTGTGTGTGTGTGTGTGTGAGAGAGAGAGAGAGAGAGAGAGAGAGAGAGAGAGAGAGAATTTGTGTGGGGATTAGTGGATTAGTGGACAAACTTTGGGAGTTGGTTCTCTTTCCACCATAGGTTCTGGGGACTGAACTCAGGTTGTTAGGCTTGCACTGACAAGTGCTTTCACCTCTTATCTCACAGGCCTCTAATTTATGAATCTGGACGATTCTGAATATTAAATGATTTGTCTCTGTGAAAAAGAAAGCCATTATCGGCAGGGTAGTGGTGATTAGCTATCTTTTGGGGAACCCAGAATTGGTACACAGGACATTTACCAGTGTTCTCTATAGACTTAAGAGATCTGTTTTCTTGCCCGTCTCTACTCTGTCCTTATGAGCAACAGTCAAAATGAATTATGACTTCTCCTAACAAAGGATTATCTTATACAAAATATATTGTCCTAAAAATTGCTGGTAAAAGCCAGGCGTTGGTTGCACACGCCTTTAATCCCAGGAGGCAGAGCCAGGCGGATCTCTATGAGTTCGAGGCCATCCTGGTCTCCAGAGCGAGTGCCAAGATAGGCTCCAAAGCTACACAGAGAAACCCTGTCTCGAAAAAAAGAAAAAATCGCTGGTAAAAAAACGAGAATGAAAATATGATGCTGTAAACATTTTATTTTTTAAAATAGCAAACGTGTCTCCCTGACGCTAAGCGTTGAGGGTACACAGTGCCTTGTGGTCTTGAAACACACATGTATTATTTGTAAGTGTCTCCAGCTCTTCCAGGCTATAAGGCAGGCAGATAACAATGAGTTCGAGGACAGTCAGGTCCATATGATGAGTTCCATAGATTACAGATTGAGAACCTGTCTTAAAAAAAAAATAAGCCTCAACACACAAAAGAAAAAAAATAAAACACAATAAAATTTTTCTTTTTCTTGAATCTGCAAAGACTTAAAAAAAATAAGCGTCTCCTCCGCGATCGGCCGTTAATTTTGTTATTTTCTTTTTTGATAAAATAATGAGGAAAGGCATCTGAGGCCCACCAGTCCAACCACTTCTAGCAGGTCCCAGAAGAGACCCAACTGCCCCCCACTTACCTAGCCCTCCAACCAGCCTCGCTCCCAGGGCAGCGCGCACCATGCACTGCGCACGCGCGGCCCTGAGGTCCCTGGGCTCTGAGGCTGGCCGTTGGGGAAGTTTCCATCCCTTTGGTTTTTGACCCTTTGCGCTTGCCCGCTCTGCCCCTGCCTCCACCTCAGTCCAGCGCTGGCTCTGCTTCTCTGGCGGGAAGGTGGCGGCCTGCTGCCCCATGGGCAGCGGTGCCCAGATGAAACCCAGCGCCCCAGGCTGCCCCATGGCCTCGCTCTATGTGGGGGACCTGCACCCCGACGTGACGGAGGCGATGCTCTACGAGAAGTTCAGCACGGCCGGACCCATCCTTTCCATCCGGGTGTACAGGGACGTGATCACCCGCCGCTCCCTGGGCTATGCTTCTGTGAACTTCGAGCAGCCCGCAGACGCAGAGCGCGCTTTGGACACCATGAATTTTGATGTCATCAAGGGCAAGCCGGTCCGCATCATGTGGTCTCAGCGTGATCCGTCACTACGCAGAAGTGGAGTAGGCAATGTGTTCATTAAAAATTTGAACAAAACCATTGATAATAAAGCGCTGTATGATACTTTTTCTGCTTTCGGCAACATCCTTTCCTGCAAGGTAGTTTGCGATGAGAACGGCTCCAAGGGCCACGGATTCGTACATTTTGAAACAGAGGAGGCAGCAGAAAGAGCCATTGAGAAAATGAACGGGATGCTTCTGAATGATCGCAAAGTGTTTGTTGGACGGTTTAAATCTCGAAAAGAACGAGAAACAGAGCTTGGAGTGAGGGCCAAGGAGTTCACCAACGTTTACATCAAGAACTTTGGGGACAGCATGGATGATGAGACCCTGAATGACCTCTTCGGCAGGTTTGGACAGGTCTTAAGTGTGAAAGTCATGACCGATGAAGGTGGAAAATCCAAAGGATTCGGGTTTGTCAGCTTTGAAAGGCACGAAGATGCACAGAAAGCGGTGGATGAGATGAATGGAAAGGAGCTCAATGGAAAACACATCTATGTTGGTCGAGCTCAGAAAAAAGTGGACCGACACACAGAACTCAAGCGCAAATTTGAACAGGTGACACAAGACAGGAGCATCAGATACCAAGGTATTAACCTTTACGTGAAAAATCTTGACGATGGTATTGATGAGGAGCGTCTGCAGAAAGAATTTTCTCCGTTTGGAACCATCACCAGTACAAAGGTTATGATGGAGGGTGGTCGCAGTAAAGGGTTCGGTTTTGTGTGTTTCTCCTCCCCCGAAGAAGCCACCAAAGCAGTTTCAGAAATGAATGGTAGAATTGTGGCCACCAAGCCACTGTATGTAGCTTTAGCCCAACGCAAAGAAGAGCGACAAGCTCACCTCACTAACCAGTATATGCAGAGAATGGCAAGTGTACGAGCTGTGCCCAACCCTGTGATGAACCCCTACCAACACGCACCTTCAGGTTACTCCGTGGCTACTGTCCCGCAGACACAGAACTGCGTGCTG